GGTTTCGCAGTTAATTTAGCAAGGCAGAAACTTTCACCTGCTCACTGTCCATGTCACAGTTTGTGAGGGTAAACTTGTCCTAAAGATTTTAGCTATCAGGAGAGATTTTTCTGCTGGCACAAAACATTAGAAGTTTTTTTTTTTAATGAAAATAAAAATCAGGAATGCTCTGAAAGAGAAACAGAAGTAGGTATCATAAGATTTCTCCATCAGGATTCTAGCAGAAAAGAGACAGCTTACTACTATAGCAGTACTACAGAAGTACTACTAGGTACTTGGAGGAAAGTCTAGTGAAGGGGCTTCCTACAAGCTGTGGACACAGGGTTTGGAATTGACGAGGGAGAGGGCTAGAAACAGTGAGGAAATTACATCCTTACCCTAGGGGTGAACAAAAGCTGGAACCCAGGAGGACAGTTGGGTAGAGAGGCCACCGGGGGAGGAGCTGTGACATTTGGATTCGGGTTGCAGCAAGTCAGAGATAACCTTGCAGGTAGAGAGGCAGGAGAATAAATACCCTGGCCTTGTTTTTTTAATTCTCAAGAGATCTCCTGCTTGGATTTCCCACTGGCAGAATCCAAGCAGAAATCAGAGAGCAAGAGATTCTACTGATGTTGTCCATGTAGATCATCCTTTTGGGCAAAAAGCTAGGGTGAATATGGATGAAGTGGGCATCTGCAGAGGCAAATGAAAAATATTTGGCACAGAAGAGACTTTTAAGTTACAGTCAGGGACATTTTAAGTTAGAATGATACGTTAAAAGAGAGAGAAAGAGAGAGGGAAAAATAATAAGAGAATTTGTCAACTTCCAGATGTCCATGAACCACAGCATAATGGTGCCAGAGAAGCCTAATGCTTCACTAACAAAGTACTCATAGAAGTGGATTGAAATAACACACATTACCAGTGGTGTTTACACTTAATGTATGCAGGATTTCTTGTTTGAATTTTCCTGAATTAAGTCTTTGAACTCTGTATAATAGATCAGTCCTTGATTATATCAATTTTATAAATTTTGAAATTTGTTGGCTTTGTGTGGAAGGACAGAGGGGAGCCCAGAGTTGCAGGAAATGAGCTAAAAATATATTTAATTCTTGTTAGCTATCACTACGTAACAAAACCTCCCAAAACTTTGTGGTTTAAAGCAAGAACCATTTATTTTTCTCATGAATTTGCAATTTGGGCAGGTCCTAGCAGGAAATGGCTCATCTTTGCTCTTTGCAAGCTTCATCAGTTGGTGGTGGGTGAATCCATTTCTGTGTTGCCTCGCTTGCATGGCTGGCAAGTTGGTTCCAGCTGGCAGATGAAATATCAGCCAGAAGAGTGGGCCAGTGACTTCATGTCTTTTTCCTGTGGGCTTCTTGACAGGCAAATTGGACTTCTTTACAACATGGTGGCCAAATTCCAAGGGCAAGCATCTCAAGAGAGCAAGGAGGCATTTTCTCTATCTAACCTTAGAAGTCATATGGTGTTGTTTCACCCATCCACTATTTATCAAAGCAGTCACAAAGTCCATCCAAGAAGATACAATTTTAGCCATCTTTGGAAAATACGATCTACCATATTAACAAGTTATAGTGAATTAAGAAGAAAAATAAAATTTACATTACTTCCAAAACATTTCCCATATTTTTGAAAGCACATTTTTAACTGCCTTGATAACTGCTTCTAATACACTTCTCTCGGCTTTTTCTCTTTTACTTTTCATTTGTTCATTATACTCCATTGTTAGCCTCTTTAATTTTTCATCCTTTTCTTCCTGTGATATACTGGTGTCCTTTTCTATTACATTAATTTCTGTTTCGAACTGATCAGTGATTTTCTTCAGGACTTCTTCCTCCTTTCTCTGCCTTTCTTCTGTCTCCCTGTATATGGCGTCAGAAAAGTAGGTCCCGTCGTTGCT